GATATATAATAGTCTGATAATATGTAGATTTACCGGACAGAACTTGAAAGAGCTTATTAAGAACACCAGTTTTTCCCAGTATTTAAACTGATATATATAGTCTGATAATATGTAGATTTACCGGACAGAATTTGAAAGAGCTTATTAAGAACACCAGTTTTTCCCAGTATTTAAACTGATATATATAGTCTGATAATATGTTAATGTCTATCGTTATTTATGACTTTTTAATACTCACGGTTCCGGCATAGTGGACTATTGCAAAGTGGGCTTCTTGCTGCCCTGGTTTGGGCGGTTTAGGCTTAACAAAGTTAGGAGACTTGCCCAAATGGTTGTTCTTCAATTTCTCCTCGAATGTTCTGTCAGTGGCCTTGGGAAACATAGATTCCTCTTCTAGGAGGTTATTGTTCAATGACAAAACGTTTTTAACTTCTAGCCCATGGGTGTCCTGTCCATTCAGCTACTCTATCGGTGCTATGGCCAAGGCCATGTACGACAGACAGTTCAAGTGGTTGGTAAAGAGAGTCAATGAAACCCTGGACACCAAGCAGAAGAGACAACACTTTATCGGAGTGCTCGATATCGCCGGCTTTGAGATTTTCGATGTATGTATATAATTCTTACATAGCAACAGTTCCATACCCTACGTGAACAGTTTATATTACCATAGCAACAATTCTATATCTTATGTAAACAGAGGATATTATATATACATATTACCATAGCAACAGTTCCATATCCTACGTAAACAGTTTTTATTATGTATACATATTACCATAGCAACAATTCTATATCTTATGTAAACAGAGGATATTATATATATATATTACCATAGCAGCAGTTCTATATCCTACGTAAACAGTTTTTATTATGTATACATATTACCATAGCAACAGTTCTATATCCTACGTAAACAGTTTTTGTTTTTTATATATATATATATTCGTATTACCGTAGTAACAACTCCATATCCTACGTAAACAGTTTATCATAAGTACAGCAGTAGTTTTAGGAGGAAGGGGACGGATACACAATAGTTCAATACAAACTATATACACCTTTAAGAACCAAATAATGAATATTCAAATGTATCTGAAAGATACCCTTAGGTGATAAACGAAACACATACAAAATTACAAGTCATAGAACCTTTTAAGAAAATCAGCAGAGCAGATAGAAACAGTTCACAAAACCTCAGATTTTTCAATCTCTCTGACTGAACGCTTTTAGCTGTGTAACAAAGAGACTTACCATAGTTGTAAGTGCACAAAACAGAACACTAGCACAGGAACCACGTGCTATTGGTAGTATTTTTCTATACTAAACATCACCGAATAATTAAATTAATTAACTAATTTATCAATCCTTAGTATATGCACACAACCACAATTAACACCACACCACCCAAATGACATTGCACACTATAGAATGTGTACCATCACACGTACAACACACATGCACACTCACAATGTGTACACACACCATAAGTGAAGAGAATGCACACACCATTATTTGCACATATCATAATATTATGGTGCACAACCACATTGATTATATACTTACAGGATGTCAACACAAATGAACGAATGATGCATAAAACTCACAATATTTATACACACACCATAAGTAAAGAAACACCATGATATTATGGTGCACACCCACATTGATTATATACATACAGGATGTCAACACAAATGGATGAATGGTGCATAAGATCATATCACTTTGTACATGAACAAGTGTAGAAATATTTAAAAAAATTGAAAGCGTCAGAATGGGTGCACCAAAAAGTAAGGAAACAAGGTAGGAATGGGCATGTTGTACTAAAACTTCCTCTGTACAACCTCACAAGGGACGTATCCAACGTCTGGCCCATGCCAACTTCGTTTTTCTGTGTTCATGATATTATACAACTTATGGGTACATACAGAAGAGTGTCTATGATTCTTTTACTTTTGTATGGACAGTAATGAATCCTCTTAGGATTCTTTATCTTTGTATTTCAATACACTTATATAGCTAATATATGAAATCCCGTTGCCTTCTCATCTAATTACAAAAGCAGGGATAAGTTGTAAAGAAAGAAAAACATACAAGTTATGGGTCCATATGAATATCTGATTCTTCTGGTGTCGTATAAACAGCCTTTATAGTACACGTACTGCTTCCAATAATTCGATTCACATAAACCTACAATCATTGTATGGTAAGCATAACTAAGTCTGATAAGTGTAGTCCACCTGGCTTATTGTATACAGGATAGAAAAAATAAACGAAGTAGGCATGGACCAGAAATCGGACACGTCCCCCTGTGAGGAAGTTTTATTACACCATACCCCTTCCTAGCTAGATATTGCTATAGCAACCACTTGTATTATATATATACATATAGATGGATAGATGTCACTATAGCCACAGTTTCCTGTGCAAGTCTTGACAAACGAATTAAGCGAAGGAAAACATGTTAAAACGAACTTGTTGACTTTTTCTTCATTAAGACTGTAATTTAACCCGGTGTATAAGTAAAGAAGGTTTTTCAGGAATGTGAATGTTTGTTTTTCTTTTGTGTTCTAGTTCAACGGGTTTGAACAGTTGTGTATCAACTTCACAAACGAAAAACTCCAGCAATTTTTCAACCACCACATGTTCGTGTTAGAACAAGAGGAATACAAGAGAGAAGGGATCGACTGGGAATTTATAGACTTCGGTCTGGACTTGCAAGCTTGCATCGAGCTTATCGAGAAGGTACAACTTTCCTTGTTTAGAATTCAGATCATCTTACTAGCCGTTCTGAGGAACTTAAATCCTATTTTTACTTCCCAGTAGCCGTTCTCGCGACGAGACTGTAAGTTAAGTTAAAATAACATTTTTGTTATTACATTAAAAAAAAAACCTACGTTTGATCTTATCTCATTTTGAAAGTTTTAACAAAATATTCTGTAAACAACAAGTTCCTTAGTGGCTCAGCGGTAAGTCCGAAGGCTTATAACGCTAAAAACCGAGTTTCAGTATTCATGATGGGCACAGCAAATACAGACCATTGTGTAACTTTGTGCTTAACAAACAAATAAACTGTTTAAAAACGTGCAGTTCGATCCCATTAATTAACAAAGTAATAGATAAATACTTAGGTTATTGTTCAATGACAAAACGTTTTTAACTTCTAGCCCATGGGTGTCCTGTCCATTAATTAATAGATAAATACTTTTTAGGTGGTTGTTTATTGTGTAAATAGTGAAAGTTCTGAACTCTTCTTGTTCCTTTAGTGTAAGTACGGACACCCACCCACAAATAAGTAAAATGCGATGTTTCGGAATATTCCACATCAGTTGAATTGAATGACTAATGTAAGCAAGCTTTTAGTGAAAAACAACAACAACAAAACACCGAGAAGAGCTAGCATTTTTTTCTTGTTCAAAGACTTCGAAACGTCTACCACGGTTTCTTATTTTACATGATGTTGTTATGTACTGACTTTGTATAATGAAATGAAGTCATTTCTCACCTGGTCTTTATTTCTGCCCTGAGTTACCAATTCGTTTCCGACCCTGATCTTCGGTTTCAAAAAGTTTTTGTACAGATCTGCAGGGTTTACACCCAACAGATGCCCCACCCGTTCACCTTCTGCAGTCCCGTCAGCCTCGGCCTGTTCTTCTCGGGGTCTTTGTTTAAACTTCATTTCACCCAAATGCATGACAGCAGCAACGATCCTATGAATGTTGTCTTTCTCGTCGTCGGTGAAACCCAACACATCAAAGGCGTGCTGTGAAAACACCACCAAGTTCATTGTTAGTGACTCTGGTCTCTTACTATTTCATACTTACAAGTTTGAAATATACATTCAATTAGTTATTAACAAACTATTCAGTTATTTCAGAATCAAGAGTTGATCATTCGTTTTGACAGTATATTAAAATAAAAACACTAAAACTTGACATAGACCACCATTAAATGAAACTTATTCACGTTTAACCATAACTGTTACCATACAGTTTCTCAGACAGTTACCATAACTGTTAACATACAGTTTCTCAGACAGTTACCATAACTGTTAACATACATATGTGTTAGACAGTGATAACAGCTGTGATCATACCATGTGTTACACAGTGATAACAGCTATGATCATACCATGTGTTACACAGTGATAACAGCTATGATCATACCATGTGATAGATAGTGATAACAGCAGTGATCATACCATGCGTTAGACAGTGATAACAGCAGTGATCATACCATGTGTTAGACAGTGATAACAGCTGTGATCATACCATGTGTTAGACAGTGATAACAGCTGTGATCATACCATATGTTAACAGTGATAACAGCTGTGATCATACCATGTGATAGACAGTGATAACAGCAGTGATCATACCATGTGTTAGACAGTGATAACAGCTGTGATCATACCATGTGTTAGACAGTGATAACAGCTGTGATCATACCATGTGTTAGACAGTGATAACAGCTGTGATCATACCATATGTTAACAGTGATAACAGCTATGATCATACCATGTGTTGGACAGTGATAACAGCTGTATTACTCACGTCTGTCAGCCGCATTTCTTCTCCGTCATCAACATTAGGGATATCTGTCTTTCCCTGGGACACAAAATGGTAGTCATAGATGTCGTTAGAAAGAAGAAGTTTTTCTGTAATTAAAAACATCGTTTTAAATCAATATTTGTTTTTATCTTTAAAATTGTAAGATAATAAAGAAAGTGAAAATGAGCAGAAATAGGTTATGTATTTGTAGTCGCAGGCTGTGAATTTCTTGATTCAGACTTTGCTGCATCTCCGCATTTTGTCATATAACATTAGAGTTATCACAGGGTGCTGTTAACTAGCTTCCTTACATCTGGTTTATCATTTCAAATATAGAGACAGTCATGCGCAGATAGTCTTTGTGTAGCTTCTCGAGAAATTCTGAAACGAATGGAAAGCACGTGAGTTAAATGGGTTTTCTTATAAAACCTAAGTTAAATTATTAGAAGGATTGGTCAGATTGCTACTTATAATCCGGTGGTTGGCTTACATTTTATAGATGAACACTACTTTAAAATCAGTTGTTAACAGTTTGTTGTTCGGATTGAATAATTTCTATGTAATGTAGGCAAACTTTTAAACATAAAACAACTAGGTGGCGCTGCTTAGAGAAACCACTGAGCACGTATGTTTGTTGAATTTAACGTGAAGTTACACGAGGACTATATACGCTAGTAAACTAGCGACAGCGTAGAAGGAAGACAGTTGGTCAACACCACCCACCGCCAACTCTTGGGCTACTCAAACGGAATGGTGGAAGATGAACATCACTCAAAACAAACCCACAACCCCTAAGTGCGTATTTTCTCTTTCTTTGCAGTGACGAAACGCGAACATCGTACGCAAAGTTAGGATCGTTGACCACTGGTCACCGAACATGATAACCATTGTGAGTAATTACTAGTTAACTCATTGTGTGATCCTTTTTTCTTACAAGACTCACTAATATCATGTCTAGTTCCAGGAACCCTTTAGACATAAGCAGATTTAAATATTGTATAATGCGTTTTTTTAACAGAGCGTTAAGTCTAACTTGAACTCGGAAGTACCTTCAAACATGACCTAATAATAAGGATATATATATGATAGAAATTGAGCCAAAGTATACTGGCTCAAGTTTCAGGACTTAAATTTAAGTTAAGATACAAGTAAGTGAATCAAAACATTAGGCCTAACTTAAGACGAATTGACGAAACATATAATGAGATACAAAAATGTGAGGCACACTATAAGGCCTAAGTGAGGAATTGTATGCTGACCTCTTGTTCCAGGGATACCCTCGGACATCATTTGATAAAATATGTGATAAGAACGTTCAGCAGCTTGTTGTGAAATCACACGAGCCTTCTCCAGCAAATCTAAAAAAATAACACTCTTTTAGTGTCTCTTAACTTAAGCAAATGAAACAGACTTTTAAGTGCTGTTAAAAATATGTGTAAGTTTATAACTAAGAGCGTAGGTTGTTACTTTTCTTGATGTAAAGCAGGTAATATTTACTATATAACACCTGAATATGTAACAGGGTATTCATTTTAAATATTCTCCTTACAATGAAAACTATTCAGAAACTAGTATAGACCGTCAACAATGACGGGACAAGTACTACCACCCCACCCCATATTATACCCTAACCTCACATTTCATAGCTAACTGAAATATATAAATTTTGCGAAATTAAGCTTGATCAACAAAGAGGCAGAAAAGTGCAGTCAAACGTCGGTAAATTCCTTTTCAAACCAATCAAAATTAAGATCATTCATGAAATGAATTCGTGGCGTATTCATATAATAATTATTGGTAAAAATCAGTTAGATTAACAACTTCTAATATATAGAAAAGCCAGTGCGATTTGGTAACACTACCTTCCAACAATGGCTTTTATGTCATGTTGCTTAGCAACAAAAGTATAACGTAACATTGTTGTTAGTCTATGTACTGAAACCATGAAATAAAATGTGTAGACAACAAAACTCGGAAAATATTTGTTGATTTCTTAATTTAGTCTCCGTTGATTAAAAAGGTTTGCTTTTTATTAAAAACGTTGGTGATATAACATAAAATAGCTTAATTCAGAAACGATTTATGTTTAAAATCGCATCGATATTTTTACTTTCATGATAAATTTTATGCATTTGGCTCTAGGCTAGGTGATCCGACACTACGTCTTTACTGTAAGCGTATTATACCAACACTCACTACACTTGTAAGGTTTCACGGCACATACACACACACACACTCAAAGCCCCCTTGCACTCCCGTCACTAAAATCGTAATGGGCAGACAGTAATCGAACTATTCTAGCTGGATAAATGCATTTTGGTTTTTATGACTCTTCCTATTTCGAGAAATCAAGCGTGACGTGACACATATTGGCTTTTATATAGGTAAGATTAATTTTTATAAGACAAAATACCGTCTGCAGTGTTGATTAATATTCAGCAGATTCTAGCTTTGCAAGTTAACGACTGTTACTGGTGGAACTAACAGAATTATCACAAATTATGCATAAGATACTTCGTGCTTATGTAATATAGCTGAATTTCTTTCTGAAATGAATCAATACGAATCCAACCATCAGTATTTATCCAGCGACGTTTTAAATTAAACTCCACTACTAATTAAGTTGTAATCAAAGCAAGCTGCCTACATATGTCACAGCTAAGACTTAACCCAATAATGAATATGGCTAATTTAATATACTGTTTTATTTTCTCTTATAATAATTAGAATGTATTCATTCATCAGTTGGGCACTCTTGCTACTGTCGATATTTTCGGTCGTAATCCCATTATTATCTCACGAACCTAGAATGTTTAAATTAATAATACATCCATATGCTAAGCTAAATGCCAAATTTTTCTTTTAATATAAAAATATATGCCATGCTAATTGAAATATATATCTATTATATATACTAAACAATTCAAGCAATACTAATAAAACTAAATATAAAATTGTATAGGAAAATTCAGTTCAGATACTCACATGTTTCAATATCTGCTCCGGCCAACTTGCCCATACCGCCAAAGTGGATACGAATGAACTTACCCTAAAACATCGTATACGAAGAATATTCTTAAAACATAAGACATAGTTTCCTTAGGGTTCACAAAATTTAATTAAAGTAAAGCATATCCTAAAAGAAGTGAGATACATGACACAGGAAAGAACCATCAAAATATTTATTGTAAGTTCAGTAATTTTTGCTTCAAAATTCAAAAATCTTTCTTGTCGTAATAGTTTGTCAACATTACTGATTTTTAAGTACCAAATATTGGAAACCTTTTTATTTAAAAACCTCCTGTATTTTTAGTGTGGAAATAGTTATCTGAAAACCGTGAGCTACCATATTCTAATATAAAAGTTCTAAGTTACTTACGAAACGTGAAGAGTTATCATTACGCACAGTCTTGGCGTTACCAAAAGCTTCCAGAACAGGATTGGTTTGAACAACCTGGTCTTCTAAGTTGCCCTAAATATCAAAAATTAAAAACAATATACAATAAAATATCTACACAATAAATCTGATCATGATAAAGAAAGTTAATCACAGACTACTGAGGATACATTTCGTAAACTATAAGCTTCATTAAACCTAATATAGCACATAAAGCCTGCTTATTCATATGAGTAAAACATGCATTAGAACGATCAAACTAACCGACATCACATATTAGCACTAATTCCTGAAGAAGTAATTAATTCAGTTGAATTTCATATTTTCTAAACGTTTGAGTAAACTTAAAAGTTGAATTTTCGGGTTTTTTATATCAGAAATAATTTTAACTGGGGAGCTTGATATAATTATTTCTGTAACTAGTGCAAGTTAGAACACACGCGACTTAGCAACCAGAAGCTATTGAATTAACTAGGATACATTCATCTAACCAGAAGCTATTGAATTAACTAGGATACATTCATCTAACCAGAATAGCAACCAGAAGCTATTGAATTAACTAGGATACATTCATCTAACAGAAGCTATTGAATTAACTAGGATACATTCATCTAACCAGAA